TAATGTTCGTGGGTTTAACAAATTAACTTTTAAGAAGAAAACTATTTATTTACACTAATTACTATTGAACTTAAAAACACTATTAAATTATTACTAAACTTAGGTAATTTTTCTATTTATTTTTACTACTGTTACTATTCACTGTTCTATTTATTTCACTTCTATCACTGTCAATTTATTTCTTGATTTACTTCTGCGACGGTCAATTTATTTCTACTCTTTCACTTCTACAACGGTCAATTTATTTCTACTCTACCTTGGCGATCGTCTCTTCCGTTTCATACTCCCTTGCCTCCTTTCGGTAACATTCTCCAGCCGTCCAGAGAAGTCTCGTTTTCTTTGAACGGTTTAATTGCTTTCCCGGAACGCAGGTACGACACACACGTTTATAGATATGGCGCACATGAAGAAAAGCGCCCGCGGCTAGTCGGCGAATCGATAAGCCGCTCACACACACGTATGATGATCGCACACAATCACGCTCGTGCTCGCTACAATAGATTAATTTTATATTTATGGCAACAATTTTTTGCAGCATTTGGTATTCTCGAAACTTTTGCTGTTTTTAAAACGTTATCTTATCGGGCTAATAATAAACATGAGTTAACGATATTTCCTTGTAAACAATTGTCTGTTTTTTTTTCAATTAATTCCACGTTTTGCTTTGTCACATGTTTATGGCAGAGACCTAATCTGAAACAATAGTAACGATAATTACGGACACGTAAAGTTATTTGCAGTAACATCAAAGAAATAAATTCCTCGCGTGCCACTACGAATTTAGGAACAACTTGGTCGAATATGAGCGGTAGTGATGTTCTCATGTAATTCTTATTTTTAGCAATTTTGAAACGCAGTATGAATGCACATGTCACAGTGTGCATTTTCTACCATAATTCCAATATATTTGTTAATCACAAATTAGGAACTGTGATATTTACATCGAGAATAATTTATGGTGTCGTTAATAAGCTACAGGTAATTCAATAATTATTTTGAAAGTTTTTAGTTCATTTGTTTATTGGTGTAACAATAATTTTGTATAACCGAATGCGTAAATTTTAAATAAATGCGTCTATTAAATGGACGATTACAACATTAGAAAATATTCCGTGAAAGACGATGCTGGTGCCTTTGCAAGTCCAAAGACGCTAACAAAATGTACGATAACAATAAAATACATCCACATGCCACATGAAGGTGGCGGACTACTGACAGGCAAAATTTAACGACCGGAAGTGCCACAAGAAATGCAAATATTTAACATCAAATTGTGCTTAGGGCCTCTTTATTACGCCCTTCAGGTAGGTATCAAACGTTGGGAAAGTCCAATTCGCCAACTACGTCACGTCGGACTTCCTCTGGGCACCTAAAGGGTGCATAGCAACAACCAAAGCGTTGACCAAGGAGCCCGTTTTACTTTAAAGGTGTTTTCTATTTTTGTACAGACTTTTTAAGTCTTTGACAACAAAGTTTAAGAGACCGAGCGACATGGCCTGGAGGTTTAGTCCGTTGTTTAGCTTTTGGAAAGACGCTGGTTCGATTCCGGGTCCGTCCGTCTGCCTTGGTCCAAGTTTTTCTGTGGTTTCCTTGGATCACTTAGGCAACTGCTGGGGCAGTAATATTCCACAGATAGTCTTTTATTCTCTTCTGTCTTCATTTCGGTCCGTCTCACCTTTCTCACAAGAACCACCAGCCACCCATTCTCACTATTCTTGAAAGAACGCTTAAGAGGGCCTTCCGCCCTATCTTTCGGCGTAGTCAGGAGGGCTTGCTCGCCCACTAGCTTTAGTGGCTGGTGGGAATGAAACACCCAAATCCCAATTCAATTCAAATTTTATGTCCAAAAGGTCCAAAATTCATTCAATGCAAGTAAATAACAAGTATTTTTTCAATTCAATTTACACCAAGTTACATTGTGTATAGTACAAACTCAATCAATTCGTGTAAATAAAATGTAAATAAAAAAGCAGTATAATCGTAATATCGAAGTGTGTAACCAAAAGAGCCATCAGCGAGATACCGCCACATACAATACCAAGAATGAAATCAAATCAAACAGGTTGTTTAGATGAGTTTTCTGCACTCTGCAGTAATATTCGTTGTGTCGTTATGCAGGTACCACTTTAACAATATAGTAGATTGTCCCAATTGACCTCAATTTGGTTATAAAAAAAATTGAAGTCTTATTCTCGTTTTATTACAGGAATAAGTTCGTTTCGTAGTAGTAGTGGCGATGAACGTTCAGGTTCGCGTTCGAGCGCTTTGAGTTCGTCTGACGAACCGGCCAACGTCGTCCTACCGTCATCAATTTCATCGTCGTCGTCGTCCTCGTCCCTGTCCTCTTTGACGTTGTCGACGACGACTAATACCAGCAACAACAATAACAGCAACAACCTTCTCATAGCTAGCATCCCTTCTTACCAACACCAACAGCAACAACACCACATTTCACCTACAGCGCACCATCAGAATCCGTCTCCTCATATACAGCAGCAACAGTCAAGTAGTAACTCAAATTGTGTAGAACCGGTGCGCGTGTGGAGGGACCCCAGCCTGTTGCTGGAGTCAGAACCGCACGTACGCCACATACACAGGTAATTTTTTTAAATCATGTTTGTAAATTATCCACTTAAATGTGTACCTATTTATACAGTGTGCAGCACCAGTCGCTGCTAATGTCGCACCCATCGGCGTTGGGCGTTTCGGGCCCGCCTTCTACCTCTGTTACAGCTGCCGCTGTGGCCGAAGCTGCGGCCGCGGCCGCAGCAGCCGCAAGTCACCCGGCATCCGCGTCTTCACTTTACGCACCCTCCGTTGTACCACCTCCATCTACACTCATGTCTCCACATCATCCGCTACAATCTGCGCCCCATCCGCATTCGCCCCATCATCCCCACGCGCATCTTGGGCCTCCGCCACCAGGATTGTATCCCCATCACGTCACAGAGATGCTATGGAAGCAACGGTATCAGTTACCCGTGGGCACTCATCTTCTTGCTCCTCAGACTGCGTCCAGTACCCATGCGTCCACTGGTGAAGGTGGAGGGGTTTTGGATAGTCGAGAACAGCAACAGAGATACGCGGCACAACAGGACCGGCTTTTGTTACGGGAACGGCAAAGTCAGCAGGAAGCGGCGGCTCGGGAAATGGAAAAGCAGCACCAAAAAGAGCGGGAACAACAGCAGAAAGAGCGGGAAAGACAGCAACAAGTAGAAAGGGACAAAATGGAGCGGGAACAAAAGGAGAAAGAAAGAGAACAGGAGCGAGAAAGGCAAGAAAAACAGAGGGTGGATCAGGCTGTGCATAAACATTTTGAAGAGTCGCTGAGGAGAGCGAGTCAAAAGGTTATTTTATATAAATTCATTTCGTTATGATTTCTTAACAAGTTGTTTCAATTTAGAGGGATCAGGGAAGTTGGAACCTCATACTACCTCCACCACAACGTTCTGGACCAGACGAAGAAAGAAAAAGATCCGAACAAGAACACCAACAGAGGGAGCAACAGAGACACATGGCAATGTTGCCTGACATGCGTGATAGAGTTTATTATCCATCGGTGAGTTAATATTTTTGTTTCTGATGAACAATAATTGAGAACAAGTGCCATTTATTGTATTTTATTCCAGAGTCAACGACCGCCCAGTTTACCTTCAAAAACGGATTACCCTCCGCCAGCACATAGTCGTATTGGTGGTGGTAAATCGACATCCGACAAGCTTTCGTCGGTGCATCATCCATCGCTTTCGAGGGCAGAAGTGAACATGTTCGGTTATCCGGCGTATCAACCACAGAACGCTTTCTTCTCACCTGATCAACCAAAGAACAAACTCGTGTCGCAGTCGTTATCGTCGTCATCGTCGTCGACGACGGGTGGTCATGTGGTTTCGTCGAAAATCGATCACGTCGGTAGGGGAGACGTTTTACCTCCGTCTTCGGTCGCGAACGCCGCGATGATGAGTGAACTGAAAAATTCTGTGATCGTGAAACATGACGCGAAAGCGCAACATTTCGATTCGAAGTCGTCCCCTAACCCGAAAATGGTGACGCATTACCTCTCACAAAACGCTGCTGTGCAGCAAGGACATAAAAGCGCGAGTATGTACGATTACCGTAGTCCCACGCAATCTCCGCATCATATGCAGCATCTTGGGGATGGCAAATCCGTTCAGCAGAGGCCAATGGGTCAGACACCAAGTCCGCATCTTCTTCAACAGCGACAGTCTCCGCATCCGTCCCCGGCTGATGCTTCACCCCATCACCATCATCATCATCAGCAGAGATACAGGTCGTCATCCGAATCGGCTATCATTTATCCATCAAAACCGTCCCCGGCATCCACAGGCAATTTCAATTACCATATGCCACCATCGTCGAATTATAGCGTCGGTAGTTCGTCGTCTTCGTCTACGTTGAATAAATCGAAAGTGAGCAGCCCTGCACCGCACCATATTTATGGTAAACCGTCTGGAGCACCTTCGGTTGTGCGAGAAATAGTACCATCACCTTCTTCATCGAACAATCCTATTCCACTGACGTCATCGTCTTCGTCAAAACCTGCGATAGGATGTTGTGTTTCGCCATCTCCGTTCCAACAGGTGTCTCAATATCATCCCCCGCATCATCAACAAAACACGCCGCAGGCGGCGTCGTCCTGTTTGCCGCCACCACCTGCTCACAGCAGTCGACCAAACGTGTCGGACGCACGCTCTTACGACCGTATGTTGTATCCGGGGTCGGTAGCCGGTGGAAGTTTTCCTTCTGTAAAGACGACCTTGTCAACAACGCAACTGCACGGTACTTCGCCACCTACGGCTGCGTCGGCACCTTCCCCTATTTCTCGTCAAATGCAGTATGGCTTACCCACCCGTTGTGACACCCTCACGACACAAGTTCAAGTACTCCAAGCCGTTCAGACCCAGCCCCTTGATTTGGGAATGTCGTCTGCCAGCAAGCACGAATCTGCAATGTCGCCGAAACGTAAAGCGAATACCCCTGTGAACATCACAAGTGGTCCAGGTGGTGCAGTTTGTCTCGAATTGAAAAAGAGGCGCATTGAAAACCAACCGAACACTAGTCCATACCCCGTTTATGTTGGAAGCACTCAGCAAGCGCCACAACTAGCTAGGGTAAGTGAACCGAGCCCGTTGATTGCTAGTGCCGCCACCACGATTACTACTGTTGTCAATACGGCTGCGTACAAACCGCCACCAACCACTTCTCCCGCCGTTGTCGATCATCACATCGTCCTTCCCGACGTAAGCGTCACCACTGTGAATGTTGTGCCTGTAACCACAGATAACATGCCTATTCATTTGCAACAACCTCCACCGGCGACTACGCCATCAATGGCCTCAAGCCCTCCAGCACCGGCTATCGTCTCTCTAAATCCTCCCGAGCCGGCAAATGGTATGGTCACTAACACTCCCGTTAAACCACCTGTCACTCCTACGAGTGTAGATTCAGATAAATCTAACAGTCCGGGTCCAATTAAAACGACTGCTTCTACACCAAGTACTGGAAACAGCAATCCAGTAGTGAGACATTTAAAGAAAGCGTGGCTGCAGAGGCACACTGGCGAAGATTCGGAAGATACAACGGGCATTACTGGTGGAGGTAGCTGTGTAACGTTACCCTTGAATATTACCAATAATAGTAATAACTCAAATAGTTCGAATAACCAAACAAAAGAATCGTCAGGTGGGACTTCGTCTTTGCTACATAATATAGGCTCAATGGCTGTGAACAGCATTAGCAAGTCTACAAAGGCCACTTTTGTTGGTAAAACATCCGGGAAAAAAGGTAGTAAAGACGCCATTGCGACCATAAACGGTCACCCTTCTGATAGCGCGTCGAAGGGTGGCGATGACTCTTCCAGTTCCGATCCAGAACGGGGTCGAAAATCTCCTCCTAAAAGAAAACCTCCCAAAGTAAAACGGAAAAAGGGAGGAGGTAGTACTGCGAAGAAACTTGTTGAAGAGCAGAAAAAACGTAAACTGGCGAGTACTAGTTCGTCATCGGTGGTTGCAATGAGTGAAAGTGGCAGTGATAGTGATAAGGAGAGCGGAAGCGATAAGGACTCTGATTCGGGAGCAAGCACAACAAAAAAAAGCTCTACGCCTGTAACGGCCGCTTCAACGCCTACCAGTTCATCAACGAAAGATAAGGAGCCTAAGAAACGTGGTAGAAGACCAAAGTCGTCAAAAAACGATAAAGGAGAGGAGCCGCGCCCAAAAAAAACTAAGGAGGCCTCCAGCGGCACCGCAGTCCCAGACAATAACGGCAGTGGCAGCGGTACCGGTGGTGGCAACGATAGTAATGTGCCCCCGCGCGACCCCTTTCGTAAACCACCAGTGGGGCAACTGAAGAGAACTGGCGAAAGTTTTCTTCAGGACGGACCATGTCACGAAGTAGCTCCGAAGTTGGCGAAATGTCGAGAGTGTCGATGGACTCCAAACCAAAGATCGAAAAACATGCCCAATATTTTTTGCCGTTTTTATGCGTTCAGGCGACTGAGGTATACAAAAAATGGTCAGCTGGCCATAGCAGGTTTCTCTGACCCGTACAAAGATGCTTCCGAGGTGAGTGTAGTTTGAAAACTTGTGGACATCGGTTTATTTGTTAAAATATACTTAACGTACGATTTAATTTTTGTTGTTTTAGAAAGATAAATTCATTTTGAATGTTTATGTCAGGGTTAAAGGATACTAATTTTTTACTTATTATCGTTATATGGGTCGTTTTGCCTTTTTTTATAAAATACATATAGCTATATAATCACGTTAAATTTAATCAAAATATTTTCTCAATATTTTGATGAATTGTGCTCACATTTTAGTAGCTCATGTTTTTAGTGTGACTAGATTTTGATATTACAGGAGGACCTAAAGCTTTGGTTGCCGTCGGTTGATTCTCCTCCTGTCGATCTTGATATGGAAAAGTCTAGGTTCCTTTTAAAACAAGTTGGCGATCATTTCTGTGATTTATTATTACAAGAACGGGACGCTCAAGCGGAACACATGTCTGAAGGTAAATTTCATTTTGAGGGAATTGCTCATATATGTTTATGTATTTTTTTTTGTTTCAGATAATAAAATAGCGTGGAAAAGAGTGGTGCAAGGTGTTAGGGAAATGTGTGATGTGTGTGAAACGACTTTATTCAATTTCCATTGGGCATGTGGTAAATGTGGTTTCGTGGTCTGTTTGGATTGCTACAAAGTAATAAAATCGACGTTCTGGTTTTGTATTTTAATTTGACCGAGGATTTTGTTTATTTTTTCTAGAGTCGGAAAAATGGTACTGTGAAAATATGGGGAGAGACATCCCAGAAGGATCGTGATGATTTTTCGTGGTTGCTATGCACAAATCGACAGCCTCATGAGCAGGAAAAACTAATGTTAACTCAGATCATTGCCGGTCAATCCCTTCAAAAGCTGGGTCGTATGGTACACGAAATGCGGGAATTGTGGAACATTGAACAGTACTGCGGTTGTCCTTTAAGCAAAGAAGTACAGCAGAAGTCAAACGGTGCCCGTAAAGAAATCATTAAATCTGTTCTTATGACTGAAATTAATGGACTCAAGAAAGAAATAAAAGAAGAACCTGGAATAGTGAACGGAAGCACTGGAACAAACAGCGTCAAAGAAGAGAAAACTTCACCGCTGAGTTGGCTTGCGGACGTTGCCCTTTCGAATGAGGTAAAAAAAGAACACCTTCATCAACATCACGACGATAGCAGTACCGATTCTGAAGATGGCAGTAACTTTTCGACGTTACGCGAATTATTAATACGTCCATCTCATAAACAAAATGGTAGCAGTAGAGCCACGTCCCCTGTCTCAAATTCAACAACGAATAAATCATCTAAAAAATCGATACTGCGAATTGATACTTTGGACGATGTAATATCGAGTGTTATCGAGGATAGTGTGCCGAAAAGCAACGACATCGGTTTAGAAGTGAAGCCTGAATTAAAGCATTTTGTACGAAGGTACAATAAACAAGCGAAAGGTCGGAAACCTTTGCCTATTAGGATAATGACGTTGACAGAGAGCAAGGTGCTGTATCCGGATGTACCTCACAGTTGGCTCTGTGACGGCAGATTGCTCAGGCTTACAGATCCAAACAACGTCGGAAATTATAAGATTTTCCAGGTAAGAATATGGAAATTTAAAGTAGTCAGATTTTGAAGGTAACAAATATATTTTTCTTTCAGGATCAGTGGAAGCGCGGTCAACCTGTGATAGTGTCCGACGTGACACGTTCTTTGAATAAAGACCTGTGGAACCCAGAAGCATTTGCTCGTGATTTTGGCGATGAAAAGAATGACTTGGTCAACTGCATGAACGGCAACCTAGTTCCAAACCAGCCTATGCGAAAGTTCTGGGAAGGTTTCGAACATTATTCGAAACGTCTTAAAGACGAACGGGGCAATCCAATGTTGCTTAAGCTAAAAGATTGGCCACCGGGCGAGGACTTCGCTGAAATGCTTCCTACTCGTTTTAGTGACTTAATGAAGGTGCTCCCGTTATCCGAATACACCCATCGAACAGGAAAATTGAACCTTGCTAGCCGTCTCCCGGAATGTTTTGTGCGTCCTGATTTGGGCCCAAAGATGTACAACGCGTATGGTTCCGCATTGCACCCTACCAAAGGAACAACGAATCTCCACCTGGATATTTCAGATGCAGTCAACGTGATGGTTTACGTCGGAATTCCGAAAGATGGCGACGGTGAGGAGTACATCAAGGAAGCCTTTCGCGCTATAGACGAGGCAGGTTGCGACATCTTGACAAGAAGGCGTGTCCGAGACAAAGGGGAACTTCCTGGCGCTTTGTGGCACATTTATAATGCGCGCGATGCCGATAAGATCCGGGATCTTCTCAATAAAGTTGTTGTGGAGAAAGGAGGCCGTCTCGAACCTCATCATGACCCCATCCACGACCAGAGTTGCTACTTGGACGGACCTTTACGAGAACGGTTGTACAAAGAATATGGAGTCGAAGGGTACGCGATAGTACAGTGTCTTGGAGACGCGGTGTTTATTCCGGCAGGGGCGCCGCACCAGGTACGTAATCTGCATAATTGTATTAAAGTGGCGGAAGACTTTGTGTCGCCGGAAAACGTGGCCCACTGTTTTCATTTGACACAAGAGTTCAGAGAATTGTCCGATAATCATTCGAATCACGAGGACAAATTACAGATCAAAAATATAATTTATCACGCTGTCAAAGACTCTTTGTCAACGTTGTCGGTCGTCGTTAATAGGCACATGAGAAATTCCGGCGAAATCGAACAACAAAATGGCACTGCGACCGTTAAGCAAGAGGAGGGTAGTACAGGAGGCGGTTTATCTTCAGCGACTACAGCTACCACTACAACAAACGGTAATGCGACGACCACGACATCAACGACGACGACAACGTTAACAACATCTGAAAGTAATTCATGACTGTTACGTGTGATATGATGATAAATTGACTAATTAATAAATACAGTGACGCAACCGTAGGTGTTCTTCGTTTTAGTGATGATAGACGTACATAAAATAAACATGATATTTCGTTTTACGACTACTTTTTTGTTTCGTTTCGTTTTCAATTCACTCTGCTGTGCCTGTTTACTATATTATTGTACCCTACGAAGAAGAAGTCAGTATTTAGCGCGCGAAACGTGGTGGATGCGTGTCGTGCGCGTGTGCCAATAAGACTCACGATCAGTTTAATTAAATTTTACTGCGACCATGATCTCTTAAAAAATATTTCTTTTTTCGTTTTACAACGACGATTTCTTCGCTAATAAGACATACACACACACACACACACACACACTAGATACACACACTTGTTGCTGTTAACTGTTTGCTCCCATTATGTAACTATTATTCCCACTGTTAATATTGATAAGGAATAAGAAAAACAAAGAATAAGCGATACTTTTTAATGTGATCAAAAGTGTAGAAGATGATGTGTGTTAGAAACTTTAACGACGCAATTCTAGTGAAGAATAACGAGCCCCGGAAATAAATTTTTTGTGTGTGTGGTAAAAATCTTAACATGATAAAACACTTCTGTTTGGATAATATTATTATGTTGTACAAATGGAATAATGCTTTTTAGAATACAAACTGATCTTCATTTTTCAGTGTTGTGTCCGCAAGCGAATTCTACGCGGACACCCCACACATTTTTCTTCCACGTACTACACATTCATACACACACACACACAGACAAACAGAAATATACACGCTGACATAAATTGTTGTATTTTGTAAATAGACGTAAAACAGTATAATGCGTACGTTTATATCTTCTACTACCCCTTTAGCCAAACAGAAACCATGAATGAACAAGTACAACCCCACCCCCACTTTCTCTCCGATTCCTAAATAGTCCGAATCTATTGCTGTTTCCTTTTCCTCGGCAGAGGTGTAATTTTTTGTACTGTGTATAATATGTAATTATTACATAGGTTTGAATAAGAAAATGTTTATATTTCGTTCTCTCTTTTTTTCCTTACTATTATTTTCCTTTCCTTTAGGTGAATGTTTATAAAAGGAGATTATCATTCAACTGAAGAATTCATGCTAAACGAAATAAGCCACTGCTATTTAACCAACAAGAAAATTATGTACGAAGAAATACGAAGCATATTCACAAGTATTTATCAAACAACTAGATGTATATTATCAAAAGCATTACATAAATTTGTTTCGAACATTTGTAGGTTTTTATGAAGTTGTAATTTTAAATTATCGTTACCATTAGAAGAACGAAATGATCAGGAATGTCGCCTGCAGATACATAAGTAATGCCAAAATTCGCAGAAATAATGTGAAATGTTAGCTCAGATTAAGAGTACTATTAAGCGGTAAGTACAAGACATCGGACATCTTTTTAACTATCATGTAGTAGATCTACATTTTTCTGTTACTATGCTGCTGCCTATTAAGGAATAATTTATTTTGAGTAAAAGTTAGGTTGGTCTGTTTTGTGTCTGTCATGTTTTGACTTTGGGAATTGATTTAAGACCGCTATACGTCATAAAAACGTAGGGAAAAGGGTAGTTTATTTTATTTTGGGAAGACATTAATCCTTAATTTTAGTAATATTCAATAATATGTCGAATGTATTTTATTTTTCAAGTGATTAATTTGTATAAATTATTCACATTTACTTTTAATAATAAAATAATGCAAAAATAAATTATTAATCGCCAACGGAAATATACTACGGAGGTATACACAAGCGCATATGACCGTAACCGGCTTATAATAATCACATCAGTAAGTTACCAACACAGGGCTTCCCACCTTCGTTAGGTTTTTTTGAATATTTCATATAACGGTTTGTTGTACGACGAATGTTATTTTACATTTGTTTTATCTACAAGTTTGCTTAAGTCATAATAATAACACACGACTATTTTTGAAATTTATTATTTACCCCTTTAATGCTTCGACGATTTCTTTTAACTAATCACATAATGATGCTTGCTCGTATCTTCATTAAAACACCTTTTTATTCTTACTTTGGGTGTTTTCTAAACTTGGTGGTGGTGGTACGTTAGCTTTCGTTTCAAGTTTAGTAGATGGTCCTTCAGGTTTACTTTTAGACGAAGATTCTGAACTTTTGCTACCAGGCACTTTCAATTTATTTTCCTTATTTAAAGCTATTTGCAGTGGTTGTTCTGTTGTAGGAGTTTCTTTTTCTTCTTTTTCTTTTTGAAGTGCCTTTTCTATTTTCTTTTCTACTTCAAGTACTTCTTCCTTTTCTATTAATTCTATCAGTTCTTCCCACTGTTTGGCAGTTAGCTTGATATCTTCCTTTCCTACAATCTCAAGTACCTGCAGAAAATTTTGCGATTACAGCAATTGTTGTCATAAAAAGGTAAGATATATTATAAGAAAATGCTATAAATAGAACAATAAAACGTGCCATTTTTCCGTTTTAATGACTCATTTGTAACCTTCCTCAACAGTATTGCTTTTTTATATAATTGTAAAGAAATACAAGAAAATGACTATCAGAGCGCGAAGGTTTTCTGTGAAAATGGTAAAATCGACATTATTTATTATCTAAAACACTTAGGAACTTGTACAATGTAATTGCGACAATGTATTAATTATTCTTACCTTTAACAAATCCTCCACCTTTACAGATCCATCCTTGTCATCGTCCATGGTTTGTAGAAGCCGTTTGGTTAAATTAACACGCGATTCATCAGGTGCTTCTTTGACTTTTCGAATGGCAGCTAACAAATCGTCGATTTTAAGCAATTCTTCTTTCTTCTTTTCAATAGGTTCTAACAGTTCTTTTTTCTGTTCTGCGTCGGTTAGTTTTTCTTTCTTTTCTAACTGAAAATTCAGGTCTTTCTTTAGTTCTTGCTCTTTATTTTGAAGCTGTTCCATTAGGACGTCCATTTTATTGATCATTTTGTTGACACGATTGAAGAGACGTCGAGCTGCTTTGCTCTCTTTTATTTTAGGTTTCGGTTGGTCCGCTATTACTTTGTTAAAGTCTTGGACGTCTTCCTGATAGTCCTCCATCTCTTCTTTCATTGCTTCTAACTTGCCCTTTTCAAGAAGAAACTTCTTTTCGTCAGAAACTGATTCGAGAGCTCTCTTCATAACTTCTAGATCTTCAACGTCGAATTCGTCGATTTTCTTTTTCTTTACTTCTGGCAGTTTTTTCTCAGTCGCTACAACTTTTGCAGTGTCTTTCAGTGGAGGCGTTGCCTCGGCTGAAATAACTGGCGCCTTATCCACCAATGTTTCTTTTTTCTCTAGTTGCTTTGCACGCCTCTCTTCCTTTCTTTCTTCCTTAATTCTTCGTTCCTCCTCTTTAAGTATCTATTAAAACATATTTCATAATAATATGCATTATTAAATTATGGCAGCAGCAAAATCTGGTTATGCATATCTTTGATTATTATTATTATTATTATTATTACTAGGCACATGAGTAGCTCAATAATAGTACTTATAATATATCACGTTCATTACCTGGATTTTAATCTTGTTGTCAATCTTTCCTTCTTTTTCACCAATATTGGCTTGAGTTTGAGTAACTAAACTTTCCGGAAGAGCCGAAATTGTAGCTTTTAATTGGTCTTCTGTCGGTATTGTTTCCGGAAGCATTAGCGCCCGCGAAAATAGTAGTAAGGAAGCGGGAACTTTTTTGTTCAAACTAAGATCTAACCATTGTGCAAGCTGTTTTCGTAATCGATTTTCTGAGAGACCGTATGATCGCATTCCACGAGCTCTACAGGCCTGCTGTACTTCCGCCAGTGTAAGTGATTCGATGCCCTCTTTTTGAATCATTTTGTCATCCGCTGCTAACCGTCGCAACTTCATCTGCAGTTGAAAACGCAGCATGTTCGTCGTGCCAAGAGTTTGAACTTCAAGGACACGACATAAAGCTACCAACTGGCTTCTAGTGAGGCAGTCTAAAGTGTCTTCATCTTGGAATAATGTGGAAAACTTCATAATTTCTTCATTTGTAACCTCAGCTCCTGATGTTCTTACCTAATATTTGGATGACTTAAAATAAAAGAACAAGTTAGGAAAGAATTAATTTAAAAACTCACTTTATTAAACCATTCTTTGAACTCTTTTGCTAAAGCTGAGTTATGTTCTGTATGTAAGAGTGCCATGTCATCTAATGTCTCTTGAAGAAACTTGGCCATTTCAATTTTTATTTTTAAGTTCTGTTTAATTTTTGCTTCTTTATCAGAAGCTGATTCAAATGTAGATGGTAGCATCCCAGGGAAAAATTTAATAAATACTGGTAGTAATAACTCCATAAATGGTACAATAATGAACACAGAAAAAGGAACAAGACGAAAAATGTCACCAACTGTTCGCATCAATAACCTATGTTCCCTTCTACTCAGTGGTTTTCCACTAAGTATCCTCCATACCAATTTGGATGAGATTTTTATATCTATAAACAATAACCTGAATCCATGATAGTAATGTATGATTTCATCCTTAATTTTTTGTGTTATGGATTTCTTAATTTCAGGTACTGCTGGTGCTGTTATTTCTTCTTCTTTTTTCTTTTTTATCTCTTGAACTATTACTTCTACTTTAGAAGATGGTTTTAAAGGGTCTTTGTCTAGACATGTGAGAGATGTGGAAAAATTCCTTACAAGAGAAAATGAGAAATAATGACCATCATAATATAATGGGCTGATGCTGGTACATCTTTTGTTATTGGAATTGTTTGATGGAATAATCCCACCTGTAAGTGTTGTAGCAAACTTTGAATGATAATTGCTAGTATTCAAATGATTGATAATTTCCGTCGAACTTCGACAACCTACAAATAGTTAATGTTAACATCATGACATCACTTATTTGAAAATTATGTAATTTGTAGTAAAGTTTTAACCTTAAAAGCATCACCTAATAATATTACTTACTTCTTACTAATTGTCGACTGTTTAATACATAACGAAATTGCACCATTATACTTTTTTAAACTTCAAAATGTTAATAGGTTCTAGTTTTGAGCAAAGCCATTAATTTTCGTTTCATTAGTATTATAAACCACACTAACACAGATACAAGTTTACATTTACACTACTGTTTGGATAGCACGACTCTCAGCCGAATGATTTCAGTGTAAAAGGTGAATAAATTTTCCATTAACTGATCATCATCAACACCACTTCATTACAAATGATGACCATGATGATCATAGATAATAGATATGGTAGGTCAAATGATTACAAATCCGAGACCTGCACTCATAGATTATAGTTTTGTTTTAAAGAGAATGCTGGGAGAAATTTAATGTCCATCTATTCGAAAACTATTGGAGCTATCTTCATTTCATTAGGACCAATCGACTGCGCGTCATTCAAGCTTGAAAACTGAGGTATTATGGTAACTGAAGTTTACCTTTATATTATTTATTTCAAATAACAGTGAAATTATACTAACGAAATTATATATTCACGTCATAGATTAGCCATTAAATAAATCTTTTATCTATTTTGCTCCATTTCCGACATGAATCATAGTAGAAAGTATGTATATATCTTGACTTGAGTATGAAAAACAAAAGAGTAGGTTGATTATGGAAAAGGAAATAGTATCTTTATTAATTTTTCTAGTTTTTAAACAAACTCAAAAGCCGTTTTGCTCAATGGTGTGTTGTGTATCTATTATTTCTTTTCAGTTCAGTTTAATCTATGGTCCAGTTGTCCTGTATCTATGATCTGGACGGCGTCAACCACAAACAAAAGATATATAGCGTGAATATTATTGCGAATGATACGTAAACATCTATGACTTGAACAATCTATGGTGTGATTACCCTAGGTACATGTATGGTACACTATTATCTATGATGGTACATCTATTATCAATGAGTGTGAACCTTTTAATGTGCTGGATTTCGTAAGAAATTAAAATTGTTTAAAATTCTTTTCAGAAAATGGTGTTTATAGTACATCAAGCAATTAGTGCTGTTTTGAAGCCTCTTTCTATAAATGTGTACTATGGGTATAGGACCCGGAGTGAACTCTGCTATTATCAACGATTGTATGGTGAAAAATAGGACTGTAAACTGTGACCAGTATGGGCATGAATAAATTATATCAAAAGGTAAGATAGATTTGTGTTTGATGACTGAACTATTTTTGCAATCAAATTGTCAGACTGAATTTCAACCGTTTCTGGCATTTGTTTTGTATTTAATCTGTTTTTTTATGTTTGAATTGTGAATGAGATGAGATAACATTGAAATTTATTTCGCTTTTACTGGTAGTATGGTACCCTTCTTGCGGGATTTCTTTACCTTGAGACATTGTGTAGGTAATTACGGTGAGAATACATAGAAAAAATTCATTCATAGTTCTTTACTGTAGGAATATGTTAATACAAGAAAATTAAAAGTCCTGTAGAACAAAGTAATTAAAACACCGAATACCCAAATTTTATTTATTTAGCTAACAAGCTCCAAGCCTTTTAAAACATTACATGCCGGATCAGTTCAAAAGAACCCATTAATGCTTTACTTTTTAACGTTAAATATATTTTTGATTGTTTAACAGGAATATTATACAAGCTTGTAGCAGTCTGTATTTCATCCCAGTATGGATCAGTATTATTTTATTCACCTCACTGGAAGCAGAAATAACAAGGGTAAGTAACAAACTTTTATAAGATAAAATGAAAAGTCTTGGCAATGTGATAATTGTTTTGCCTAATGATTACTGGTTACAATATGAATAAGTTTCAACAAATAAGTATCAACTTATACAATCAATAGTTTCACAGTTTCAATTTTCATGTACCTGCTCCTTTCAAATTTTTCTAAATAAGTTTGGTTGACATTATAGTGCCAATACATNATGTTATTAATTTGTTGCCAAATTTCGCAATAGAAGACTTCCTGGAACATTATGCATTTGGTGGCAAATATATGTTACTTCTTTTTATAATAAATATCTAACTAAGCGATATACTTAAAATTATATGTACGTATTGTAAAACTTCTAAATTATTTCTGAAGAGACCCAATTGGCGTTTATAGCGCCACTACATTTGTCATGAGTATTCATAGAGAGTAAATAAAAATTCAAAGAGAATATCGAAAAAAGTATGGAAGTGAGAAAGACTTTTATTAAGAGTATAAGACTTATATTAAGAATGTAATTTTTATTTTATTTTAAAATTTAAATTACTGCAATGTTGATGTTTAATTTGAACATAAAATAATTAATATTGACTTGATGATTTGTTTTTCCATCTGTGCTCTATAGTTTTTCCTTCAGTTGTTATGTGTATGTCTATAACTAGACTGGCGTAATTATTTATGAATCTATGAAATTTATGCATCTTGTCATGATCTTGTCCTTCTTGTCATCTTGTATTAATAGCGATACTACGTCGCCATTTTTTTGTTATTGATTAGTGTAATTTATTCGTTTTTCTCTATTTTTACAGATTGACGATAAGATGAAGATATCAAGAGTGGAAGAGTGTTCATTTTAATGTTATTGAAAAAGCGAGCTGTCTTTTGTNCCTTCAGTTGTTATGTGTATGTCTATAACTAGACTGGCGTAATTATTTATGAATCTATGAAATTTATGCATCTTGTCATGATCTTGTCCTTCTTGCCATCTTGTATTAATAGCGATACTACGTCGCCATTTTTTTGTTATTGATTAGTGTAATTTATTCGTTTTTCTCTATTTTTACAGATTGACGATAAGATGAAGATATCAAGAGTGGAAGAGTGTTCATTTTAATGTTATTGAAAAAGCGAGCTGTCTTTTGTGGCGTTCTATTTCTCAACTTGGAGAACTTGCTTTGTTGTACGTATTTTTAGGTGTGTTTAATCTCTTCCTTAATTAATAGAATTGTTAAAAGGTTTTTTGTTCATTTCTGTAGGTTATCCAACAAATGAGAGAGACTTGGTGTCCAGTTTGGTCTTATTGAAACAGCCAATGTCTACATGGGTGTTGTCTTTCGTGAACTACATTCTTGATTTGCTGTACCATCATGCAGTTAATTTTCAGCCCATGAGTGAGAGCAATTGGATATTTATTTGAATTCCACCGAAACAACAAATTCTCTGCTGCAGTTTTTCTCCTGGAGTTGGTTTGCTTTTTACACCTGCAAACTTTGGAACGTTACGTTCTACAATTAATTAAGGTGAGAATACTTGATATAATTAATTTTAGTTGCTTTTTATTAATCTGTTTGCCACCGTATCTGTTTCAGATCGACGTTGGAGAAGACAAAGATGACCCTGTAGTTGAAATAGTTCTCTATCTTGCATGCTCCATCTAGTAGAATTCATTAAGTTGGTTTTATTGAAATTAATTTTTTATTTTGCATGTTTTTTGTAGTTAATTTGAATTAGTTTTATTTTGCACGCTTATTTTTGTTCATTTTGTTTGAAGTAATTGTTGATTGTAGATGTTTTTATTTTTTTTTGTATGTAATAATAGTGTAGTAGTAGAACTAACAAGTTCAGTAGTTGTAGCATAGTCTAACATGTCTCTTGCTTACCTCTTCGCTTAGCTTACTGCATATTCTTACTATAAATTGCTTTGCATTTACCCTACGAATTCTACATGATTCAACGTTTCGTTATCGTGTGTGTTTCTTCTCACCCNACATCGTTCGGCCTTGAAACGTTTAATTGTACTATTACTATCATAATTTATGGTAATTTCCAGTATTATAACTAAATTAAATTTCTCAAAAGTCTTAGTGTTATTTTTAATAAATGAAACGCTGTTTATGTCAAAATGAGGTTTATTTAGCAATTTTATTATATATTTTGTTTAAATAAAATAAACTTTGTTCAATAATACATTTATTGTTGCAAATTAATGGCATTTATATTAAACACAACGTATGAACATCGATAGATAAGTATTTCAAATAACAATACATTAATATAAACAAAATATCTAAGATATAATACATTTTAACGACTTATAAAAGTTAAAAATAAAATACCTGTAAGAGAGACAAGAAAATCAATAAAATTTCAAAGAAAATACATTTATTATTTAGAAATACAATTTACATTTATTATAACAAAAGTACAAATTTATTTCAAATAACAATACATCGATATAAACAAAATGTCTGAGATATAATACATTTTAACGACTTATAAAAGTTAAAAATAAAATACCTGTAAGACAAGAAAATCAATAAAATTTCAAAGAAAATGCATTAATTATACATAAACTGTCATACCATTATTATTTAAATGCAAGATTAGGGAGAAAATATCCTCCCTAACCTTCTGTGGCCTCCGCATCACCCCTTATAGCCACCCTATCCACCCAAAACGAACATTAACTTTGAAAGCGTAAACAAATAATTTAATTTAACAATTAGACCAAAAAATCAATTTAGAAACATTTTAAATATCAACCTAAGTTATGATTATAAAGATATAACAGTTTATGCAGTAAAACACAAAATACCTGTAAGAGAAAGACAAGAAAACACATGAAATTTCAAAGAAAATACAATAAAAAGCAAACAATACGATGTCTTCAGTCTTCTTCGGTTACCTGAAAGCGAATAGTGCAATTACAAGGACTAACGACAAATACTAATAGCTTTGGTAGAGAAGATCGGACAGATTTCGCCAAGGCAAGCTGGGCAGTCGCCTATTGCTCCTATTCCAGATAACCCACTGTACCCTGTCTGAAAGGAAGTAACGCTAGAGTAGACTCGCGAAAAGTGTATAAGACACTTTTAAGATCAACTAAATAGCTAAGCCCAAGGGAAGTCGTTCGGGGAGGCCCTCCCTAATTCCACAAGGGTGAGAAGAAACACACACGATAACGAAACGTTGAATCATGTAGAATTCGTAGGGTAAATGCAAAGCAATTTATAGTAAGAATATGCAGTAAGCTAAGCGAAGAGGTAAGCAAGAGACATGTTAGACTATGCTACAACTACTGAACTTGTTAGTTCTACTACTACACTATTATTACATACAAAAAAAAATAAAAACATCTACAATCAACAATTACTTCAAACAAAATGAACAAAAATAAGCGTGCAAAATAAAACTAATTCAAATTAACTACAAAAAACATGCAAAATAAAAAATTAATTTCAATAAAACCAACTTAATGAATTCTACTAGATGGAGCATGCAAGATAGAGAACTATTTCAACTACAGGGTCATCTTTGTCTTCTCCAACGTCGATCTGAAACAGATACGGTGGTAACAGATTAATAAAGAGCAATTGAAACTAATTATATCAAGTATTCTCACCTTAATTAATTGTAGAACGTAACGTTCCAAAGTTTGCAGGTGTAAAAAGCAAACCAACTCCAGGAGAAAAACTGCAGCAGAGAATTTGTTGTTTCGGTGGAATTCAAATAAATATCCAATTGCTCTCACTCATGGGCTGAAAATTAACTGCATGATGGTACAGCAAATCAAGAATGTAGTTCACGAAAGACAACACCCATGTAGACATTGGCTGTTTCAATAAGACCAAACTGGACACCAAGTCTCTCTCATTTGTTGGATAACCTACAGAAATGAACAAAAAACCTTTTAACAATTCTATTAATTAAGGAAGAGATTAAACACACCTAAAAATACGTACAACAAAGCAAGTTCTCCAAGTTGAGAAATAGAACGCCACAAAAGACAGCTCGCTTTTTCAATAACATTAAAATGAACACTCTTCCACTCTTGATATCTTCATCTTATCGTCAATCTGTAAAAATAGAGAAAAACGAATAAATTACACTAATCAATAACAAAAAAATGGCGACGTAGTATCGCTATTAATACAAGATGGCAAGAAGGACAAGATCATGACAAGATGCATAAATTTCATAGATTCATAAATAATTACGCCAGTCTAGTTATAGACATACACATAACAACTGAAGGAAAAACTATAGAGCACAGATGGAAAAACAAATCATCAAGTCAATATTAATTATTTTATGTTCAAATTAAACATCAACATTGCAGTAATTTAAATTTTAAAATAAAATAAAAATTACATTCTTAATATAAGTCTTATACTCTTAATAAAAGTCTTTCTCACTTCCATACTTTTTTCGATATTCTCTTTGAATTTTTATTTACTCTCTATGAATACTCATGACAAATGTAGTGGCGCTATAAACGCCAATTGGGTCTCTTCAGAAATAATTTAGAAGTTTTACAATACGTACATATAATTTTAAGTATATCGCTTAGTTCGACATTTATTATAAAAAGAAGTAACATATATTTGCCACCAAATGCATAATGTTCCAGGAAGTCTTCTATTGCGAAATTTGGCAACAAATTAATAACATTCAATTAATATTAATTACACTATATATTCTCACCTTGATTAGCTGCAGAGTGTAACGTTCCAAAGTTCATACTTGCAAAAAACAAAACCAAATCCAGAAAAGTATCAAAGCACATTTCGCTTAGGGTCATCAGTAGGGTCAAAATTAACTTCCAATTCTCTTTAATTCGTTGGCCAAATCTAATAGAAATGAACAAAAAAATTATTTAATCACCAATATTAAAGCAACTAAAACAGTAACGTTTTAAAATGGCAATGTAGCGGCGAAGGCAGAGACAGAAGAAAGGAAAAATAATGAACATGTAACTCATTAATGTAGTACCATTCCTTAAAAACCAAAATAAGCATCTCTTACATTTACAAAATTTAAAGATTTAATACTTCTTTTCTCCTGACTTTTTATTTTCATATTGAAGTTAATATATACACAATGTTTCTACATATTGCCATTTATAGAATTTAAAATAAATGTTCTATCGCTTGTATTCTGCTAATTTTTACACTGCTGGTAAAGATGAAGTTATATATTAATCATGTTAATGTAATCTTACCTTAATTAACTGCAAAAAGTAGCATTCTAGAGTCTACGAACGTGATGACCAAACCAAATCCAAGAGGGATACCACTGCAGACTGTATGTGTTTCAGTAGTTTCCAAATTAATTTCCAGTTGCCTCCTCCTCGCAAATTCAAATTAAACGGATAATATTGCGAAAGGTGAAAACGTCAAAAAGCATCGGTTGTTTCAGTAGCATCAAACTTAACTTCAATTCCAATTCAGTTGTTGGGCAATCTACAGACACGGGCAAGAAAAAGTAATAACTACCATTTTTAAAGCAAGTAAATCAGTAATATTTTAATGTGGCGATGTGGTGGTAATGTTAGAAGCAGATGTCAGATAAAATAATAGACACACAGTGTATCATTCATTAATCAGCAAAATGGACAGCTGTTATATTGAAAATTAACACATTTTATGCTTATTTTTCCGTATATTCTCTCATATTAAAATAAAATGTACATATAAATAGTTTGTATTAAACTAACATTCCCACTAATGGGGAAAGATTAATTAACAGAACAAACAAAATGTATTGGCACTATAATGTCAACCAAACTTATTTAGAAAAATTTGAAAGGAGCAGGTACATGAAAATTGAAACTGTGAAACTATTGATTGTATAAGTTGATACCTATTTGTTGAAACTTATTCATATTGTAACCAGTAATCATTAGGCAAAACAATTATCACATTGCCAAGACTTTTCATTTTATCTTATAAAAGTTTGTTACTTACCCTTGTTATTTCTGCTTCCAGTGAGGTGAATAAAATAATACTGATCCATACTGGGATGAAATACAGACTGCTACAAGCTTGTATAATATTCCTGTTAAACAATCAAAAATATATTTAACGTTAAAAAGTAAAGCATTAATGGGTTCTTTTGAACTGATCCGGCATGTAATGTTTTAAAAGGCTTGGAGCTTGTTAGCTAAATAAATAAAATTTGGGTATTCGGTGTTTTAATTACTTTGTTCTACAGGACTTTTAATTTTCTTGTATTAACATATTCCTACAGTAAAGAACTATGAATGAATTTTTTCTATGTATTCTCACCGTAATTACCTACACAATGTCTCAAGGTAAAGAAATCCCGCAAGAAGGGTACCATACTACCAGTAAAAGCGAAATAAATTTCAATGTTATCTCATCTCATTCACAATTCAAACATAAAAAAACAGATTAAATACAAAACAAATGCCAGAAACGGTTGAAATTCAGTCTGACAATTTGATTGCAAAAATAGTTCAGTCATCAAACACAAATCTATCTTACCTTTTGATATAATTTATTCATGCCCATACTGGTCACAGTTTACAGTCCTATTTTTCACCATACAATCGTTGATAATAGCAGAGTTCACTCCGGGTCCTATACCCATAGTACACATTTATAGAAAGAGGCTTCAAAACAGCACTAATTGCTTGATGTACTATAAACACCATTTTCTGAAAAGAATTTTAAACAATTTTAATTTCTTACGAAATCCAGCACATTAAAAGGTTCACACTCATTGATAATAGATGTACCATCATAGATAATAGTGTACCATACATGTACCTAGGGTAATCACACCATAGATTGTTCAAGTCATAGATGTTTACGTATCATTCGCAATAATATTCACGCTATATATCTTTTGTTTGTGGTTGACGCCGTCCAGATCATAGATACAGGACAACTGGACCATAGATTAAACTGAACTGAAAAGAAATAATAGATACACAACACACCATTGAGCAAAACGGCTTTTGAGTTTGTTTAAAAACTAGAAAAATTAATAAAGATACTATTTCCTTTTCCATAATCAACCTACTCTTTTGTTTTTCATACTCAAGTCAAGATATATACATACTTTCTACTATGATTCATGTCGGAAATGGAGCAAAATAGATAAAAGATTTATTTAATGGCTAATCTATGACGTGAATATATAATTTCGTTAGTATAATTTCACTGTTATTTGAAATAAATAATATAAAGGTAAACTTCAGTTACCATAATACCTCAGTTTTCAAGCTTGAATGACGCGCAGTCGATTGGTCCTAATGAAATGAAGATAGCTCCAATAGTTTTCGAATAGATGGACATTAAATTTCTCCCAGCATTCTCTTTAAAACAAAACTAATTAACGCACATTTTAACTACCAACATATTTAGAACCCGCATACGACGCACAATTTATTGGTAATATTTAAATCACGAGATTATTTATATGGGGTGCCAGTTCAATAACTATACGCATATCATGATGGTCCTACAATCTATGAGTGTATGTCTGGGATTTGTAATCATTTGACCTACCATATCTATTATCTATGATCATCATGGTCATCGAAAAGTGAGGGAGATGGCGTATGGTTTCGGACTAGTGCTATCATGACACGCTTACCTACTATCGTGAGAGAGATGGATATTGTCCGAAACTTCGTTCCATCTCTTTCTTTTGCTGTACCACAATTCTGACCGTTAAGGCATGTCCATTAGTAAACGCCTAGACTAGGAAATGTCGATGTTTGTAATTAAGTGGTGTTGATGATGATCAGTTAATGGAAAATTTATTAATGACGCGCAGTCGATTGGTCCTAATTAAATGAAGATAGCTTCAATAGTTTTCGAATAATTGGACATTAAATTTCTGCAAGCGTCCTCTTTTTTAAACAAAACAAATTGACTCACGTCTTTACTACGTATATATTTCTAATCCGCACAGGATGCACAATTAATTACATTAATTAGTAATATTTAAATCGCGGGATTATTTATGTCGGGTGCTTGTTCACAAAAGTAGGTAATTTTAAAATATATCTCATCTATGGGCACACTTTATCTATGATATGGAACCACAGAACGTTTGTCTTATTCATAGAAATCTCATTCCAAAAATATTTTTTATCAATGATGTGATATTGAGCAAGTAAAAATAAATTTTAACCTAAAAATTTTGCAATATTTTGATAATTGAGTACTTTATTTCCTTTATTTTTTGCATTAAAGAACATTATAAACTATGGAAGACGAACATATAACTGGTATTTGTCTTGGCATGTGTCCGGAAGAAGAAATAAAATTGTAAATCAAACTATAACGAAAGTAAACCATCATTATCTGGCTTGTTTTAATTTTTAGAAGGCAAAGAGAAGGTTTATTGCATCGTTTGGAGGTTTTCAATCCTGAACGAAATACGAATAAATCCAATTATTGCGCAGTCAAACAATTTTCTAGATCAGCTGCAGGTCAGAATATGCAGAATGTTAAACTCCTTCGACCTGGACCAGTTTTAATGCACACTGTAAAATACTTGTTGGATGAGTAAGTACTTGCTAACAATGACAAATGTAAACATGTCTTAACTTTTAATGCTATTTGTTATCAAATTACCTTAATTGCAGAGTAATTAACTCAAAAGAATGTCCTTGGCATGTTGTTTATGCTTTCATAACAGATAGATTAAGAGCTGTCAGACAAGACATGATAATCCAAAGAATTTCTAGATCTTATTGTGTGGCCATTTTGCAGCCTATTATTGGATTTCATGCATATGCAGCTTATAGGTATATAAAATATTTTTAATTTATTTAAAAATAATCCATTATTTACAATTGTGAAAAAGAAGACAACCAATAGAGAGTAAAATCACAAAAAGGAAATCTCTAGAAGCACAATCAATCTTTTGTTGTCAATAGAAAAGGAACATCTTTGTTTTTTAATTATGAAGTTCATTAAATACCTGCTTTTGAGTAAGGAAATTAGTTTAATGAAGTCTTACTGGGCTGTTTTTTTCAGATTGTGTAACGAACCTGTACCAAATTTTGATCCTGTGTTAAATAAGCAACATTTAAATGAATGCTTAAAGATGTTACTCAGTCTATATGATGAATTTGAAATGTTCGAAGAGCAATATCCTAATGAACTATTAGCAAAAGTTAAATGGGGATCAGATATTCAGAGTTACAATTATGATGTAAATTTTGAAAAAACAAGACCTTTCATGGAAGCCTTATATTTGGTTTTAAATTTGGGACATTCTGATCCTATATTAAGAGGTTTAATATTGCCAAAAAAATTTAAGTAAATCTTTTTTGCAGTAATTCGAAGTGTTAGTGGAGTAGTTGTTTTTATAATAATTACTTTGGTTTAGCCATAATAATGACAAAGGAATATTTGATATTAGAGGATGAATTATTGGGATTTCAAAAAATTGTTTAACACGCCCTTTTTTATTTGTATTATTTTATAACAATTTTTTCGTAACTTTAGTTCTTTAATGAAGTAACTAATTTACTAAATATTATATTATAGTACCTATAATATCTAGTTATCAGCCAGTTATAGCAGTATATCACCATTTACTGGTATCTTCTGCTAATTGAACAAGGGCCTCACTAAGCTATCTACTTGCTCAACTGAATTAACGACGCAGCTTATACATATGAAAGCGCGTAAACCAAATTAAAAGCTCTTGATAAGTACTTGATTGAAACAACTTGACGTTGATCGCGATTTCGATTATATTATATCTCATTAGCACGCGTGTTTTACGTGTTTATCACATACATAATAAGCTGCGTCGTCTATTCGGTTGGATAAGTACTTCAGTTAGTAGCAGATATCAATAGATGGCGATATATTGCCATAACTACATAACAGGCAGTTTTTAAAAATCTTCGATTTGGTCGGTGATTTATTGAGACTGCCTATTGTTTGCCGATAAAATTTAGTAATATCAAAATAACGGTCTATGTCTGGTAGTTTCGTCAATAATTTATACATTCACTAGTGCTTATAAGTAAATGTTTAATTTCTAGAACAAACATTGTGAATAAAGTGTTAGATATGTCCCTATTTTACCGAAAGGGAAACTGGGTTAAAGTATGTCATTTAATGAAAGGGTTTCCACCACTTTTGGCGGCAGTTGCATCACTGCATTTACCAGAGATCAGGAAGTATGTTGTTGGTTATTATTGTGCATAGAAAAATTGTCTTTCTTTGTTTTTTTTGTAGAAAAGCAATTGAAATCATGTCTTCAGCATACAACAGCAAAAATTTAACTTTCCCAGCAGAAACTCTAAAAAACATTTTGCTGTATGGTACTGTCGATGATCTTTTTGTAGATCTAGCTCATTATGGCATTTCAGTTTCTGAAAATAAGTCTATCCAATTTTTAAAAAGCAGTTTTATAAAGGAACAAATTACGGTGAGAATTATTTGGCCAATTCTTTTATGATCATTTTATCTTAAAAAATAAATATGTATGATTTCAAAATACTTTCGTTTTCACAAAATATATTTAATGAAGCTGTAACAATTATTTCGATTTTTTAGTCGTTTTCAAAAAGTGATGCCAAGAAAAATTGTTAGAGCTCTAATTATATTTAGTGAAAATAAACTATTTTTCTTTAAAATTTTGTTTGCCCCACTGCAATATTTCTTGATTTTAAATAAATAATGTCTTTTAGGTATCAACGCGAAAAGAAGAGTTTGTGGACAAAAAAATAAATGAAATTTGTATTTCTTCAATCCTAGTTAACGGACAATACCACTAAGAAGTGATAACTTTTAATTTGAAAAGGACAAGAATGTTGGCTGGTTGGCTTTGAATAGAAAAAATTGTTTTGCAAAAGTTGTCATTTTTGACATGTTTAATGACTTTTTGAGTGCATGTTCAAATGGTACATTATGAAGTATTTGATAAAGCGAAATTCACCGTTGTATTATTAAAGGGATGACAGCTGATAGGACTGTGGCAAAGAAATTACAATTGTGGCGCTTTCCTAATGATGCGCGATCAGTGACAAGTGTATTAATATTCTTGACATACTTCTAATAATTTCATTATATAATTTTAATTTTTTAGAGGTAAGTAACTAATTTAAAGCAATCATGTACTCGTACAAATAATAATAATTTTTGTTGTAGGGACAAAAACGGACATAAGTTTGTTTATCTTCGTATTAGTAAAAATATGGCATCAGGTTTGTGCTTATTTATAACAAAGTTTGTTAATGAGTTTATACGGATTAAAGGTTTCTGTTTTAGTGTGTGACAAAACTTCAGAACGTGGTGGATGCAATGTATTTCAGGGGGCTACTGCTGCAACTAAGGCAACTTGCACCGCAAAGTGTATGGGTGCTTGCAGCCCTGGGGGTGGAGGTAATCATTTTCTAAATTTATTAAAAAAGAAACCTATGAATTATTCTTGATAAATAAGGTTCGTGGCGTGTCTCTGTAAAGATATTGACCCCTCAAAATATCCTACTCGTACTTTTTGGGTATCAGATCACTAAGATTAGATTACTCACAGTTTTTGTTCTGGAAAGATAATTAACAGCATTCTAAATCAGAAACTGTGAAAAAGTAAAAATATTTTTTTATTTACATTAAAATGTACTACTATGTGGAAGTGGATATCATTTCCTGTTTTTGTTTAAAACCAACTAACTTATGCGTCTGAAATGTTCAGAGTATAGTACATATTTATCCTAAAAATATTAGTGATAGTCTGCAAAGGGCGATCCATTATTCTTATCGTAGCGTAATCACCTCACGAAGTTAAAATAGTTTACGTCGTATATTTAGGAATTTCTCTGAGTTTTTGCGTTAATTCTTAATTCTCGTCCATCGTCTTTCCTACGATTCTTTTATTACTTAGTGGCGTTTTAATTGAAGGTGCAGGAACTGGTAGTAAATCCCCATCATTGGGATCTAAGCGAACCAGTGGAAATGGAGCAAAATGCGGGAAAGATAAAGGCCAAATATTATCCATCCTGCTTGCTATTAGAGAACCCATTGCCGAGTATCAACAAAAAGGTGGTTTAGGGCGATATGAGTAAGAAAAAATTCCATTTTTTAAATTAAATAACTGGAATTAGAAAAACAAGCTTGTTGACTCATCAGTTTTCGTACAATTGAAGAATCACAACATAAAAAGACGTTACTACGTACGAAATTTCTTGCCGTAACCTCTCCATGAAAAATTGAAACTATTCCGAGAGAATTTATTTTTTTTTTCAAAAAATTATTCTTTTTAGTTATTGGGCATAACACCGTGTGATAGATCTTAGCTTATATATTTCTTTTTCTTTTTTAGGCAGGTGGGGTTTCTGTGTTTGCTAACGTCCATCTATCAGCAGGCATACCAAGCCTGTCTGGCCTTTCTGACAATGTTGTGTAACTTGCTACCTTTCATCGACGTGTTTCTCTTAGTGATCAGATTTGCACTCGATAGGCTAATATGTATAGTGAAAACAGACAGTGTTGGGGCCGCAGCAGTTGGACTGATAAGTCTAATCGGACAGGTATTTGTTGTGATAATGATGCTGGGCCTAATTTGCATGTTCTTATTATTTCCTGTACTGTCGTTAGTGCTCGCATTTGTTTACAGACTCTTGGGTATGAACTAATCGAAATTCCAGTTGCAACAAACATCAAATGTTAATAATAAAGTTTTATTATCCTACTGTTGCATTAATTGCTCTTGTTTTTTATTTATACACAAAAACTTTCTGAAACAACTTAAGGAGGCACTGAATAATTTTAAATATTTGGTGTTGGAAAAGTTAGAAAGGAAGGGCTACATAAAACGTTTTAACCCAACCAGTCATCTTGTACCGTTTCAATGAAAGTAGAATACCGAGACTATTATTTTGATTTAAGGTACATGTACTTACGAAAGCATTTATTTCCAAATTGCTATTAACTGTAGCAATGAAAATAACATTTTTATTTGCAAAACATTTAGTTTATCATATTCTTGTAATCTAAAGCAATATCATAATAGAATTTATTTTAATGATATCACACATTCGGTTCCCTGATACTTTGGTAAGTCTAACCCATATTTTTTCTCAAGTTCAGGAGGTATAAATCTTCCTCCAAGAAAGTGATACTTCCCAGAAAAGTTTTTGGCACACAATTTTGGAGCAGTAAGGGAAATTAGCATTTCAGGTCTTATACCTCCTTCTTTTGGTTCCCCCTCTACATTCCATCCACTTGGAATATCAATACTTGCTACAGGAGTAATTGTAGTTCTTAAAAGATCAATGATAGGTACAAAGTCATCTCTAATAGGTGGTTTAAAGCTGAATCCAAATAATGCATCCACAATTAACCCATAGCTATTTTCGACGTCTGTTTTGGAGGGCAGTTTGTCCAAAAAATTTATTTTAAAAGCTACACACTGATGTGTTAAATTATGGTAAAGTGGTTTGTCTGTTCTTTTAGGATAAAATACATCACAATTGTAGCCGAAAAGTTTTAAGTGCCTTGCACAGACTAAACCGTCACCTCCATTATTACCTGGTCCACAACAAACCAAAACGGACCGATTATTTAATTTTTCAAGAGAATATGTTTTTGCAATAGCAGTAGCACAACTTAAGCCTGCCAGTTCCATTAGCTGATCCACACTATATTTATATTCGTTAAAAAGTTCAACATCTATGTTGATTGCAACGTCTTGCGGTAAATATTTCATTTTGGTAATATTTCTTACACCTGTTTTAAAAAGACCCCTTTTCAACTGAAAATTTTAGGTTATAAAGTATTTTAACAAAAGTAAAGTCTTACTTGTGAAAGAAACAGATGCATTTAAAATACAAGTTCAGCTTATAGTACGTTAACACCGATCACAAAAATGTTTTTTCATAATAGGAAAAGAATTTTTACTTGAATTATCCTTACAACTAGAACACAAAACCAACAACTGACAGATAATCTATAATTCCATATTTCTAAATAATAACCACCATAGATAAGATAACTACTATCACAGAAATAAAACAAACAAACATAGGCGTATCTGATTGGTATGATTAGGATTAATTTCCTCACTGTCCCTAATTAAAATATTCAAAAATTAAATTCAAATTGCTACTTCTAATGATGGCAAATAGGCAAATATAAACAAAACTAGGAAATTAATTTTCCATCAGGTTTAAAGAACTTTTCTCACATATGTATAAAATAACTCAAACTAACTTGTTTTTCTAATTAATCTTCAATTAACATAGCTATTAATTAAACGCTCACACATTACTGTACACCCCGCTAAACCACTTCTACACTCTCCTTATTTTGCTTCTCATAACTAGAACTAGAACCATAGATAATAGATATACAAAGGGTAGAACTAGAATTAGAACTGCACTGTTCTGACCTTACAGATGCCTCATAGACCCACTAGAAATATCCCAGAAAGTAGATTCTAGAGAACTTTGACTTTTGTTACTGGCGCAATCTCGGCAGGAGAAGATAGGCCACCTGACTCTTATTCGCGTATGGTGGGTTGCCTACATGTAACAACACTTCAAAATTACGTTTTTTTTGTAATTTCGTATTTAAACTACATCTAATCTAGAAACACCCAGTATCTTTCATCAAACTGAAAATACTAATAAAATACTAATAAATACAAAATATATTTTAGTTATTATCTAATTTTTGGTTTTCTCAAGCTTATTTTATTACGGGTTTAGTAACTAATTTGCAAAATATAAACATTCCAAAAAAATTTTTATATATTCACATCCATCTGTTCATTCGTCCATATGTATATAAATTAAGTATTGGATGTAAATTCCTTAATCGTAAGTAAACAAAGATCTCATTGTTTTGTCCTGATAGCTCTTTTTGATTTTTATTGTTTTGTTTGTTAAATTGTTTATTTAGATTGGAAAATACAAAGTTTATCTTATACGTATTTTGCTTCGTAAAAAGAAATGTGTTTGGGCTGGTAAAGTAAAGAATTTTTCTACGGGCGTTTATTCGAGCAATTGTTCGCTGCAAGTTGCAGAAAACTTTATGTAACGTTAATATAATAGCTACTTAAAACAAAGTTTCCCGTTAGATGTTGGCTATAAAATCAAACTTTGGAACTAACGAGCACATATAATCGATTTTAAAGACTGGAAAGCAGATAGTCAACCCCAACCTGCTTGCTCTTTGTCGACTTTCATCTCTCCAACGGGGTTGCAACTTTATTTTCTGAATAAATTTCAAACTTTAATTTCGACAGATTGTACGATAAAAATTTCTCATCAAAATTTAAAACTTTCATTTATTGTTTATGATTTTACGGCATGATCTTGTTAAAATTTACTTATTTGATTTACATTAGTATTAACTTGACCCTAACGTTTCGATTTACATCTTCCTCCTTCCAAAGTTACGCAACATCCTACTGACTAATTTGACCATAACGGTTTGTAACACGTTATTTTGACCCCTTCCTCTTCTCTGTTGTAACGTACAGTAATGTTTTACAAGCCCCCCCCTCTCCCTTAACTACGTTACGTGATACTTGAACTTCCCTTTACTGGTTGTTGAGGACGTTGAAGAACGACAATATTGCTAAAACCGGTTGTTGTACAGAAAATGATATATAACTAATTGTAAGACCTACATAAGCAAAATTTGATATGATGAAACTGTCAATCATTAGCAATGAAACAAAATATGTATCGGGTTGTTCGGAAAGTCATTTCGTTTTTTCCCGACAGAGGATTTAATTGTATTCTTTTGCACCCAACTTCACATTTAAGCCGTATAATTTTTATATGCTTTGAGAGCTCATATAGCAAGGCTTGTGTGTGAAAAATTCCAATTAATTCTACGCAGTAGTTTTTGGTTGGTGCCCTTTTAAATATGGAGAGCGATAAGCAGCATTTTCGACATATCTTACTGTTTTACTACAGAAAGGGTAAAAATGCTGTTCAAGCCAGAAAGAAATTGACTGATGTTTATGGATCAGTTTTTTGCCAGCAAAGACCAAAACTTTTATGCTACTACCAGAAAGATGGCAAAAGGTGTTGGACCAGAACGGTCAATATATAATTTAATAAAGTATTTGTTTATTATACGAAAACTGTCTTTCATTTCCACAAAAAAAAACGAAATGACTTTCCGAACAACCCTATATATGTCAAATATTAAAAACTAGCTTTTTCCCGCGGTTTCGCTCGCAGAAATTAATATTGTTTCTCTATAAAACCATTTAACTCCCAATTCACCCTTACAACGTTTTAATATTATGTAATGTCGCCACCTTAGATTTCAAATACAAACGTAGCAACACCATTTCATCCTTAAGGGTTGATTTTTAAAAACTGCCAAAACACGTATTTGCTTAATTTCAACAATGAGCAACCTTCGAGTAAATCCGAGTACAAATAAAATATACCCCATGGAAACGTTGCAACCTCTTTTCATTTGATTAATAATATCAAACAGCATATATATCAAGTTTCAAGAAAATTCAACCACAAATAAAGTAACACCTTTTTGTGTCGAGACAGGTCTTACAGAAATTAAATGAGAGACCATTAAGACCAAGTTTTAAGTAAAATTGACCACAAATAATGTACCATTTAAACCTTGCAACTCCTCTTCACCACTCCTCCCCCCCACAGAGATTAAATTTTTTATCCAGTTTCAAGAAAATCTAACCAAAAACAAACAAACTTTGCAAACCCCTTTCAGCTTCCTAAAGAGGTAGAATTTTGTAAAATGTTGCAATAGGTATGTATATCACTAACTTTATATGAAAAATCATTAAAACCGATTTTCGAAAATTGGTCTTACCAACTCAGAAACCTTCTTTGGCTCATGCACGACAACTTTGCTAAAGATCATCACATGATCAAATGCATAGTTTACGATTCTATAAAGGACAAACAGACAACCGTTCATTTTTATATATACCGATTAGAGAAAAAATACAATTTGTTATAGCAGCCGAAAATTATTTAATATTTAACGTTTTCAAAAATATTCGATTTAAAAAAGATTTCCAGTTACAGAAGTTCGACTCTATTTGAGTATCTTAAAAGAAATTTCATATCTAATAAGAAAAGCCTTGAAAAACTAAATATTTGTGTTACACCCTGTGCCGGCTTTTGGGGAACAGGTCTAGTCCCCTTCACAAGGGGTGATATCAAAAAGTCGTCTAGGGGCGCCATAATAACTAAGGCCAGCACTGGTACCGTCACTAATTAATAAGTTGGCATTCGTAATTTTCGATACACTCTACAACAGTTTTTTATTTGTGAAACAAACAGTTCAAAACGTTTTAAACATGGTTTCACATGTTTTAAACATCTTTTTGCGTTTATTTTGAACACATGTTTTAAATTTGCTTTAAACAAGTTTTTTTAACGTGGCGTCTTGCCGTCATTAACACATAACATATCTACTCATAATTGCCGGACGACCACATAAAACTAATTCTTCTATTCCTGGAAATAGTATGTTTTTCTGGATTAAAGGCGCCCTATGTTCTTTTCTGTACCCTTGATAATGTTTGTAGAAAATTTCATGATGATCGGTTGAGTAGTTAAGGCATGAAATAGTAACAAACTTACAGATCCTAACCAAGTATTTTTACTCTACCCAAAGGAATTTAAATAATGTTTAATATGTAACGCTTTTTTGTTTTAAACATTGTTTTAAAAAATTTACTTTAAAACATGTTTTATTTAGATTGCGTTTTAAACACGTGTTTTAAACGTTCCAATCCTGTGCTGGAAACTGGAGCCCTGTTACCTCATGCTAAATACTCTCATTTGAAGATACAATTTATTGAAATACTTATACGTCAAGCTGAGGAAGAGCAAACTGAATAGGATGGAAGCTTTAGTTCAAAGTTTTGTTTGATTAGGTTCACTAATGCGATTCAATTTGTTGTTTTTACTGCAACAAGTTTCTTTAAATTAGCATTCCTTTGAATGTACTTAAACAAATGTATTTAAGATTGATGATGAGGCAATAATTCGTTATGATTTTATCAACCACCATTCCATACGAAGGATTTGGTAAGTAAATTGAAAAACTATGATCTCACCCCTACAAACTCGCATAGATAAAAAATTAACGTGGTAATTAATGGTACGCCATTTCGTCCTCTTATTTGCAGTCACTAAAGTCATGTAAGGTGGCTTAATACATTGTATCTAAGAAAGCTCGAAAGCTTCATTAAACAGGCAAAATGTCTTACAGAAATACAAATTTGTGTTTAATAATAATGTGAAAAGTCCTTATTCACTTTTATCCACTACAAATCACCCTAAATTAACGAAGAAAAACTTACACTCCCGGTGGGAATCGAACCCGCGATCTTGAGCTTTACGAACCAATATTCTGACTATTAAGCTACGAGAGGTGACACCAAAAAGAGTGAAGAAACGAACTTATCTGGTCACAGATTCTATACATATATTATATATATCATATTAATTACTACAATAAACATTTAATAGTGGTTAATAGTTAATAATAACGTGAATATTAATTCTTAATTTTTATCCACTATAAATCATCTCAAATTAATGAGGAAAAATTAGTATTATAATTTACCCCCAGATTCAACCCAGAAACCTAATTGGTCTCCATAAGCACCTGACTATTACGTCGATTATTTTATACTTATTGTTCCTTATTTCTGCCAATTTTTGGATTTAATATTTTTTTCCCTTTTCCGGTACTGTCAGGCATTTAAGAAGTTTCAAATGTTTCGTAGTTTTAACTTCGAAAAGAATTCGGGCGAACTAGCCTCCACTCGACCACGAAGCCGTTCACCTTCTCGCTTCTAACAAGTCTTGATCATACTTCGTTAGTTTATGTTGAATTTGTTGTTGATGCCTCCATCTCTTTTCCTCCTCCTGCATTCACTTCTTCCGTTTTAGTATCGGTGATACCTCGTCCCGTGTGGCTGTGTGTTCAAGTTGTGGCAATAACAGT